TAAATGATAAGAAGCAAATTATGCAAGGAAATGTGGGGGAAGGTTACTACAGATAGGGTTAGATTTTCCAATCAATCATAACATATGGAAAGTGATAAGACACATACACTGCCCACCCCTCAGAAATTAAAGCACACTTCTTCTCTCCAGGAGCTATCAAGGGCTAGCTGTAGTAATTATATCTTACTTTTCAAAGTAAGAGATGTAAAATAGAAACTGAAGTGGAAGGTAGGATAATTATAGATAGCTCAAAGCTTAACTGTTATCTTGCCTAAATCCCTTGGGTCCTAGCTGAGAATAACCCACTTAGTTCACCTAGCTTTAAATACTCTGGGGGAAAACATTGTTAACCTCCTGTTTCGCTGCTTAGATGATATCATTTCTCTGGTGTGTGAATGTTACTTTACTAAGTAACCATGAAAATTTTATCCTGCTCATCTCTCAATCATTCATTTTCCCATGAGAAAATCTTCTCCGTGGAAACAAATTTTTAAAATCTCTTTATTCATGACTCTCTCAACCTTTCTATGTTTAAATTAATCCAATGAGAAAATGAGTGTCATGTAGTAAAATAAACATCCCATTAACTGGAAATATTTTTAATCAATCTGAGTGGATTTAAATATATAGAGAACAAATTTATGGTGCACATTAGTCATCTATGAGAATGTTTAAATCTAATTTCATAGAACTGCACCTGAAATAATTGACTTTATTGAAATCATACTAATGATGAAGCCCATAGAAGGTATTTTCAGTCTCTTCTGAATACCTCTCTGCTGAGAGCCACAGCCGAGTCTGTATGGCCCCTGGCATTTTGCCAACAGTTTTGGTTGACAGGCGAGGCATTACTATCCAGCGAGGCATTACTATCCACCTCGGCCGCTACTTTTGAGTTCTCGCACTACTTTGGAGTTCTCCTGGGGATTCCTGGGGATTCCCCGAGAGTTCCCATTGGTTGGGGAAGTGCAGGAGGAGGGATTTCCGGGAGAGATATTTCCGGCTGGGGGTTCCTGGACGAGCAGTGTGGCGTTTGGGAGAATTCCCCGGGAGCTGTGTGAAGTGTTTTCTTGCAGTTCAAAAATAAAGTTTGTTTCCTGCTTCAGTGGCTTGTGATTTGTGCCCAGCCAGACTGCGGCACCTCTCACTTAAGTTTTTATTGTCATTGTTCAATAGTCTCCTCACTTTACTAAAAATAGTTCTCAATTCTTTAAGTAGTTATATGCAAAAACTACTTCATTTTTTCCAAATGTAGTAAAGAGTTATAATTACTATGGTAAGTACAATGAACTGAAAATATAGTATTTGTTTCATTCTTCATCACATAACATCATGGCAGGATCTCTCTCTCTCTCTCTCTCTCTCTCTCTCACACACACACACACACACACATACACACACGTTTTTTAATGATAATTATTTGTAAATTTCTGTCCACAGGCCAAATAAAATAAAAGTGAAAATCGAGAACGTAGCTTTATAATATTTGTAAATCCAAAGGTCATTTCTGAGTCTGCTCTTCTGATGAACAAAGGAGTATGAATGTTACATAAAAATACACACCACAGGCTGAGTGACAGAGACCAATGGTGCTGAAAAGCAGAAGTGATGGCTTCCAGAAAGAACAGACACCTGTCTTCATGACATCCACACCAACAGGGCAAAGTGGCAAAAGCCAATGTTTGTGTGGCCTATGAACTGATAAGAAACTCATGCTTGGGGCTGGGGTTGTGGCTCAGCTGTAGAGCACTTGCCTCACACGTGTGAAGCACTGGGTTTGATCCTCAGCACCACATAAAAATAAATAAACAAAATAAAGGTATTTGTCCAACAACAACAAAAAAAAAAAAAAAAAAAGAAAGAAAGAAACTCATACTTTGTCTACTCTTTAGACAGATGGGATTTTCAACTCCTTTGTTGTAGATTTCCAAGTTTTTTTATTGTTATGTTTAAATGAAATTAATTTAATGTGTCAGGGCATTCTGTTACATTCTAAACAGAGTACCCAGTTTTCTCCATCCCTCCCATACATCACTCTAGTCCAAGACAATTAGATTTCTTTCTATTTATAAAACAGTAATATCATATGATCTAACTTAAATAAATAAATCTCTAAACACTTAAAAAGGCAAAGATTGTCTTGGGGTCCTGGATATTAGTTTAGAAAATACATATTTTTATATATCTACATGTATAGTAATAATGTTTTAATAGGATAGCCTCTGCCATAAATACCTTTCATTAAAAAAGCACAAATTTTTCAAATTTCAGTTTTAATAAAATTCATATTCAAAATTCATGTAAATAAAGAACAAATTCTTTATAAACACACTTAAATATTATTAAATAAGAATTATAAAAGTGGGACTATACATGTTGACAAACATATTAAAAATCATACACAAAAAGCATCACTGCTTACTGGCACTCTTAGACATGATTCACATAATGTTCATATGGAATGTCAATCATATGAGAAAATAATATTCTTAGCAAAAATAAAATAGAAGAGCATAAGTTTTAACATTCGATTTGCAAAATGTGATTTAAACTCTGCTTTTAAGAAACTATAAATTACTATTCCATAAAGATAAAGTAAGAAAGATTCCATTCTATAGTAGCACACAGGTGATCTGCTATTTCTGAGGGTCCCTTATTTTACTCAGGTTAATATCCACAAAGTAGAAATTTCATCTCTTTTTACATTTAGTATGATTCCAGGCACTTTTTCTTCAAACTGGATTTGTATCCTTAAAAAATGCCTGTGGGAGAAAAAGAAAAATATTAATTACCTGCTTTTAACACACATAAAATTTATACTTTTAATGGTTACATGTTATTTTGCTTAATAATCTGTGGACTCTGAGGATTAGAATTTACAGTCTAATCCTAAAACTACAGACAAGTGTGTTTGTGGAGGAGGAGAGGATCTATTAGAGACACAAAATGATTTCCCTATTAAAGTTTTATGATGTGCAGTATACCCCCCAAAATGAACTTGATATCATCTAACTCAAAAAAATTCCTAAAATTGATTTATCTGAAAAACTGTGATTATAATATCTTGTGAAATAAATAATTAAAAATAATATCACAGATAATTGCAGAAGGAATAACTAAATCTCTAAACACTACAATGAATCATAAATATCAACTGCCTTCTCTGACTTTAGTCCCACAAAAATGTAGATTTCTGTGGAATATTTCATTTTTAATTTTCTTTTTTTGGTGGTGCTGGGAATTGAACCCAGAGCCTCAGGTATGCTAAGCATGTGCTCTACCACTGAGCTACATCTCTAGCTTCATATTTTAAATTATGATACAGTACTTGTCTCAGGGAAATTTTCTATTTATTATATTGATTTAAGGACTTAAAGTTTACTCATTTACATAAAATATATTAAAAACCAAGAAAGAGATAAATATGCCTCGATATAGGTCAACAGCCAAATGAATTTTCTTGATTTATTTCTGTTTTGTATTATCCAAAAGCTTTGAGACACATTGAGAGTAATCAATGGAAGCACTTTCCCACTGAATGTTGAAATGATCTAGCTCATTTTCTTAACTGTAAGCATTCAGAATTAATAGTGCTAATTAGTATTAATTTATAATGATAGTCTTTAAAATAAGAATAACAACAGCAACAAGTTGCCACACATACTAGTAATTTGGGCACTTAAAATTATAGCACTTAAACATTATGTTTGGAATAACTATTAATTTTTGTAATTTAAGTTTCCATAAGAATTCATTAGAGCAACTTTTACAACATGTGATATCATTGTTCAGAAAGTGAGGTCAGAATTGTTTCAGTAATTGTCACAGCAAACCTGTGAGATGTGTTAAGTAAATCCCTGTGAAATTATTTGGGATAGAGTGAGTTACACTGGCCAGTGTGAGATATTCACGGAAACTTCTAGAATACATGTACTTCATGGTTTCCATTCACCATCTTAACAGCCTGAGGGATCTGGTTCTTAAAGGGACTTGTCCATGGTACTGAAATGCTGACCAGAATATGTTGACTTCATACTGCACTTGAAAAGAACTAATGAGAAAAAATATTTGCAAAGAAATAAATGTCTTTCAGTATTTTGTATAGATTTTGGTTTTGTAAGTAAATGCTATAATTTACATGAATCTTTTTATGATTGAATTATTCCCTAGGGTTCCTATGGTAATTGAACTAGAATGAATATTCTGACTTACCATTTCATTCTTGTCAAATAGTAATCTAAAGCAGATAATCATTAAATGTTTATTATATTCTTAATCCTTTGCTTTCTCTTCCAATTTTCCAATATCTTCTTACTCACTCTATGTAAGCCAACATTTTAACATCTATTTTCATTTTTATTATATCTTTTGACCAGTTAAGAAAATATAGACCTGTAAGTATTTCTGTTCATCTAATATCTATCTGTGTAATGTTTTCACACAACAATAAAATAACACCAAAACCTGTTGAGTATTTTTTTAAATTAGGGCTGGTAAGATTGCCAAAATGTTATTCATCTTATTTAATGCAATCACTAGAGTGGATATTTTAAAATTAATTTTTTTGATCAAATAGCATATTTTGATCAAGTTAAAGCATAGTGAAGGGCTGGGGATGTGGCTCAAGCGGTAGCGCGCTCGCCTGGCATGCGTGCAGCCTGGGTTCGATCCTCAGCACCACATACAAACAAAGATGTTGTGTCTGCCGAAAACTAAAAAAATAAAATAAAATATTAAAAAAAAAAGCACAGTGAAAAATCCAGATCAAGCTCAGTAGGTATGGATTTGATCAACTTCCTGGATTCTTACATTGTTCAAATTGTTCAAATTTTGGTTAGACTTTACAGGGTTGGTGATGTAACTCAGTAGAAATGGAGCGCATGCTTACTTAGCATGTGGAAGGCCCAGAACCATCAATTAAAAAAAAAAAAAAACTTAAAAAAAAGACTACTAAACAGCATAAGAAAAATAAATAAGTACATACTCCCAGGGTAGATTTTCTAGGTCTGCGAGCAGAGTGGACTCACTGCCAATCTTGTTAGCAACCTGGCACATCTTTTGTAATCTAGGAGAAGGAGTAGAAGGTAGATTAGGTTATAGTTACTATAAATATCAGGAAAATCATGTTAATTATTGTCGTTAATTCACATAACAATATCTATAACTTATAAAGCACTTAATGTATGAAGTGCATAACATGGATTTTTTTCCCCATTAATTGCCCCAGTAACATAATAGAAAAGTATCATTGTTGTCTTCACTTTAGAGATGAGAAAAGAGCCTCAAAGTATTACTTCTCTCATAGCTGGGAAACAGTTTGGTCCCAAAGCCTGAACTTTCTGCCCAACACTGCTTTATCATTTAGTGATTTTGCCTTGAAGCCAACGTGCTTTGTTTCTCTGAGCCATTAGATGCAAGTTGTTTTTGAAAATCTTACAACAAATCTGACGCAACAACCTAAGTAAAATTAAATATTTCTCAAGAAAAGCAATGTAGTTAATAAGAAACAATTTGCTTAAAATTTGTTTTCTTTAAAGGGAAGTTTAGGCTTGGAAAGAAATTTAAAAACAGCCAACTCAGTTACCACACATAATCGTACTTTGGATATTTTAAATGATAACACTTAAATATTATGTTTGGAATCATTAACTTCAGTAATTTAAGTATCCAAAAGAATTCATTAGAGCAACCTTTATAACACATGCTATCAACATTCAGAAAAATCCAGCACCCTTTGTACAAATGACATGATATTAAAAATATTTACTTTAAAATAACTTAGGAGGAAATTTTGACTTATGCTCCATAATCATCTTACTTTTTTTTTCATTTATGTGAGAGAGCACTTTATTTATGCCAAGGAATTTGAATAATGATAAAAGGCTTCAATCCTAACAAACACTTTGGTCTTTAAGGAAATCTGCTATTTTCAGATTTGGATATATTCCCAGCTAGAATGTGATTTTGTTCTTATAGTTTCAACAGCACACACAAACCTTAAGTACTGACAGTGTTATAAATAGCATCTCTTGCAATGTTTAGTCTATTATGTCCCACCCGAAGACAGTTAAAGCTTAAAATGACATGCATTTATTGCTGGATAGGATTAAAAAAAAAACTGTCCAAGTGACTTACAGGCTGGCACTGAGCAATCCCTGGTATTGTGATACAGTCTATGGAAATGTTTGCTACATTCAGCTGAAAATGTGACTGGCCCTAGAGGACAGGAAAAGAATGCTTATTATAAACACAGGCATGTTTCCCAAACAAATTGCTAGCACTTTACGGATGGAAATAATATAACTGTAGTTTACATCTTGCTTGTCCTTAAAAGAACTTGCTCCAGAGTCCTTCCCCACTTCCCCGAAACCAGACTCTGTGGGAGGTAATGAGTTCTGATCTATGAAAAACAATATAAATTCATTCTGCATTCTCAACCTCTCACATAATGGAACCTTGACTTCCAATAGAACCCTCTAGAATGACTGGAAGGTAAAAACACCAGATAGAGGAAAGAAATATGTAGGGAACAAAGTAAGTGGTTATAAAGAATATAAAATTAATATCCTTGGTTTCTACTTTTTGTTCTCCAATTTTTTTATTTAATAGGAATTAATATTTATATGCAGAGACATTTATTCCATTTTTAAAAATTAAAGTGATGTGTGTGTTTAATTTTAATGTCAAGGACTACCATAAATTGGGCAAGATCTTGAGACTTCTCTCCATCTGTTCATATAAATTTCTGGTAGACTTCATCAAAACTTTCATCCTTCCAACTGGAGTCTACTTTTTATGGAGACTCCACAGTCAGGACAGTCCCACTGAATACCCTGACACTCACTCATGCTGTAGGTGGATCTTCACTTGATCTTCATGACACTCATATTAAACTTAGTTAACAAATATGGCCCTCAGATTTGATCAAGTGGGACAACTACAAGGAAAAACTACATTTCTGACATATAAAACAATAAAAGGTAGCTGAGATGATTAGGAACAGAAAGGCAATGGCGGTAACAAGGGTAGATTGTTGGTAATAAGTTTAGTGATTTTTCCAAATCTTGGGGCATGGGACGATTTGAAAATAATTCACAAAGTTGATATGAAGAAGAATGAAACAGTGTCAAGAGAGAGCATTTTGTCTGTGCTTAAGATGTGGCTTATTGCTGAGCATATCTGTAATCTCAGTGACTGAGGCAGGACCATCACAAGTTTGAGACCAGCCTCACGAATTAGCAAGACTACGTCAAGATTTAAAAAAAAAAAAAATGTTTAAAGGGCTGGGGATGTATCTCAGTGACAGAATGTCCTTAGGGTTCACCTAGTACCACAAATTAATGAGTTAATTAAATTAAAAATAAAATTAAAAAGATGTGGCATACGAGGGCTGGGGTTGTGGCTCAGTGGTAAAGCATTCGCTGCACACATGAGGCACTGAGTTCGATCCTCAGCACCACATAAGAATAAATAAATAAAATAAAGATATTGTGTCCATCTACAACTAAAAAATATTTTTTAAAAAAAGATGTGGCATATGAAAGTCTGTCTCTCCCCTGTTCCAAAAACTTCTATTGTGCCCCATTGGCTGTCCTCTGTCCTCAACATGTGTTGGGCACCTTGGGTCGGGATATTTGTGGTTTGGAACACTGACCACAACCAAGCCCCGTCACCATGATAACCTGGCCAACCTCCTGTGCACAGTGTCTTCCTTTTCCTTCTGCTTTTTGCCGTTTACCTTTCAGCCCTTTGGTTGCCACTCATTGGATTATTACGGCCCTCAGATAAATTTGCCCAGTAACAGAATATGCATAAAGGCTTGCTTATGCAATAATAAAATGAATCGAGTTCTCTGAAACTGGTCTCCAGAGGTCTCTTTCCGACTCCGTCACCATACTCAGCTATTTGGTGGGATTGCGCTGGACCAAGTGAACGGATTGTTCACAATGATTCCAACCTACCTTTCCAGTCACATATTTGCCCTTTGGCCAAATGCATCCATACCTAAATTCATCCATAGCCCATTCACACCATCTGCCTGTCCTTTCCCAAACCACATTACAAAATTTTACGTCTTGCTCAATGAATTCCTACTGACCAGAATGTATATCTCACCTTAGGAAAACTTTATTCATCTTTTAAAGTCCCACTTAAATATGTCCACTGAAAGCCTTCCTTGGTGGTTGTTAGTCAAATTATTCACTTGTTGTTTGTCCCTAAAACATTGTCTATACTTCTACTACTTATCAAAATCTGGTTTACATTATAGTTCATACAAGTTAAAAGCATTTATCCATGTCACCAGCTGGACTACAACAAGCCTTTTCTAGACATTTATCTTCATATCCTCGGTACCTAACATAGTACTTTGTATACAATCTTCTTAAATTTCTATTTAGTTTTCAGTACTGGAGATTGAACCCAGGGGTGGTCTACCACTGAGCCACATCCCCAGGCCCTTTGATTTTTTGAGACAGGGTCTCACTAAATTACAAAGGCCCACCTCAAACTTGCAATCTTCCTGCCTCAGTCTCCTGAGGAACTGCATATAATCTTCTTATTTAACTAAATCACTGATAAGTTGTATGCTTACCTGTGAAATGCTTTATGAATTTGTCTTTTAAGTTCAAATCTCTTGGGAATATTTCTGAAAAGAAAAAAAAAATAAGACTTTAGAATTTCTGAAATGATTTCCACTCTTAAAAAAAAAATCCTTAATATGCTATAATTAAAAGGCACTAAACATATGAATCCATGGCAGTTATGTAACTGATCTCAATTCCACCTCTCCTGTTCTGACCATTCCCTGGCTCCAAAACTCAGTGGAGCGCACTGCCCCACCGCTCTACCAGGGCACACACAGACATACAAACCTCTCAGAAGTGCACAGCCATAGATCAACATCTGACTTTCTGGCTGCCCCAGACCTGTTTCCCACCATGTTCTCCAAGCTCAGTAAATGACATCATACTTTACCCCTGGCTCAGACCAAAAACCAAGAAGTTATACTTGATTTCTTTCTTCTCCCAGCACACCATCCAGCCTGTGAATTAGTTTTATAGATTTCATATCTAAAAATTTATCCGAGACCCATGCACTCCTACCTCTTTCACTAACACAGGCTAGTCCAAGTCTTCATAGTTTTGTGACTGTACTTTGGCAGCCGACTCCTAACCAGTCCTCTCCTTCCTATAATCCTTTTTCCCCTGCAGCAGCCAGAGCAAACAAATTGAAATACACTTCAGGTCAGGAGACTCTCCCACTTAAAAGGCTTTGAGCTTAAAATAAAATAATATTTAATAATCAAACTACATCTCAGTCTTCAACTGTACTCACTAAAAATATGCCATCCAGAAAATGCAATTTATAAAAACCTTCAGGAGCATATGGAAGTCATTTAGAAGGAGAGAACATTTAAACTTGAACCTCAAGGTTGGTTGGCAGTTAAACATTTAAACTTAGAATGTTTTTGTTCCAGATCAACTCCTGTGTGGTGTCAAACATACTATGAATATGAAAGGGAAGTGAACATTTGTCACCTCCCCACCTCCCCGTAGGTGAGTCTAAGCTACCCCATTGAGGAGGTCAACTTCACTGAAACCCAGGGAGAGGGAGCCTTGGAAATGAAGATGTAGGAGTTCTAACCATCTTTTATATCCTGGGAGCTAAGCAGGGATGTGGGAGCCTTGGCCAAAGAAGTAGCTCCCAGGCTCCTAGCAGCCCTGGTGAGCTCAGGGCAGGATTGCCAACCTCAGGCAGTAGCTACAGAGATCAAAGCTCCCCTCTCATATGAGCACAAACACCTGCACTTTACAAACAAAACTCATACAGAATAATAAAGCAGCAGAGCAAATCGAAGTATTTCTTTATCTAAATCTTTTGGTGTCGTTTTTAATACTCTTCCAGCCAGAACAAAAAATCTATATACCATACCTCCTGAAACCAAACACAGCAGGTCAACCTCTGTGACATCAGTACACCATGTGCTATTTGGCCAGGTGGCTACATTTGTGCTTTCTGAACAATAAGTCAGCTGAGTACAAAAAGTGCTGTGACTAAGTGTGTTCAAGATTTTATATATAATTCAATTTCCAAAAACAGTTTAGACTATCATTTTAATCTGTAGACACTGAGATAATGACATTCAGGTTTGTAAAAAAAAAAAAATACATATTTTATGTGAATTTTCCCCTCTTCTTCACCCTCATAACATAATTTTGTAACTTCTATCAAAGCAGCTATCACGTTCTGGTTAGCATGAGAGTGCAGGCTGCCTGTCCATCTCCACTACAGAATTACGGGCTTCCTGAGGAGAAAGCCACTGTTTTGTTCACCTTTTATCACCTGAAGCCCTGCTTTGCTAACAAGAGACCAGGAACTAAAGGCTGAGGGGGCTGTTACCTTTCAAATGGAAACAAACTAAGCTGCACTTGTGCTCAGAATAAGCTACCAAGAAAACCACCATTTTAATACGCTTGACTTTTAATTTCAAACTACAAACGTCATACAGGAAGGTAAGGATATATAGCAGATTGCTCTAACTTAAGCTGAGACATGGAATTTGACACCTGAAGCAAAAGTAAGAGATAACTAGTAAAAGAGTAAGAGATAACTAGTTAAAAAGAGATGGGAAAAGGGAAGCACTGCTATGTGCTCAGGTATTTGAGAAATGTCAACGGGGGCTAAAGAGAGAGAAGGAGAGGGAAAGAGACACAAGATGAGGTTGTAGGTGGACATGGACCTCACAGTCCTTTACACACTTTGTACTTAACTCTGTGGCTGATGAGAAGACAAAAGGCTTTAGGCAAGACAATGACATGGTCAAGCTTCATTTTTAAAAAATTATTACAAGGGAGGAAGGAAATGGAGAATTAGGTCAAAGGATGCAAAGTTGCAAATATATAGGATGAAGAAGTCCAAATATCTAATGTACAATGTGAGGACTACCGTTATTAACATTGTATGGGATGCAGAATAACTGCTCAGAGGGTACATTTAGGTGTTACTACCAAAAAATAAATAAATAAAAAGTAAGGGTGACATGATGTCTGATGTGTCAATATGTTAATTTGCTTGACAACTCTAACCATTAGTCTGTTATAAGTTTATTAAATGTCATGCTGTACACTTTAAATTTATGCAATAAAAATAAAATGATACATGATTCAAATTTTTTTTCAATAAACAAATGTTAACAATAAAATTTTAAAAGGTTGTGATACCTGACATAGAGGAGCAAGAATAAATGCAGAGACAACTCAACAGTTTTCAGTAATTTGTGTTGAATTGCATTCTTCTCTCCTTAGGTTGGCAAATGACTGCCCATGAGCCAAATCTAGCATTACATCTGTGTTCGTAAATAAAGGTTTTTGGAACAAGCATGTCCATTTGTTTACATGGTGTCAGTGGCTGCTTTCAACTACAATGGTGCATGGAATCCCAGTGGTTTGGGAGGCTTAGGCAGGAGGATCGTGAGTTCAAAGTCAGTCTCACCAACTTGGCAAGGCCCTAAGCAACTTAGCAAGACCCTGACTCTAAATAAAATATTTTTTAAAAAAGTGCTGGGGATGTGGTTCAGTGGTTAAGCACCCCTGGATCCAATCTCTGGTTAAAAAAAAAAAGCAGAACAATTACAAAACAAAATACTGAAAAATGTTTATTATTTGCTTGTACCCCCATATAACTTAAAATCTTTCCATAAAGATAGTTCATTCTGATATGATAAATAATAAATAAATGTTGACCCTCATTCCTTTATGAGGACACGTGTTTTAAACCAGTGTTACATGAGATACTTTAATTGAAATGCTGCCAAGCTCCTAGAATTATCAATTCTTTTAAGTAAGGAGATGGCACTGTTAATTTTTTTTAATATATAAAAACAGTTCCATTTAAAAAAATAAGCACAACAACATTTAATATGTTATTACTGAGAGAATCACAGATGGAAAATGTGGTTGGAGAAAAATTCAAATGTATTAAATACACGATAGGAAATGGTATTAACTTTTAAACATATTCAAGCAATACTTTTTAAAAATACAAAATTAAGTGTATTTAAAAATGAAAAGGGCTGGGATTGTGGCTCAGTGGTGGAGTGCTTGCCTAGCACATGCGAGGCCTTGGGTTCAATCCTCAGCATCACATAAAAATAAATAAAATAAAGGTATTGTGTCCAACTACAACTAAAAAATAAATATTAAAAAAATGGAAAGTCACCAAACAGATATCTTTCTTTTTTCTTATATAGTCACATAGAGGCTATACTGGTATATAATTGTAAATGTATAAATACATACTTGTAAATATATGTTTTTATATCATGCCTCTTCCATTAAGGTTTAATATACTTAAATAAATGAGTGCATTACTTAACTCTCTTTTTATGTAACATTTTATGAGGCTTATGTAGGTTGTAAATAACACACAAAGTAATCAAGTAAGTTCAAATGGGTTCCTTCGTGTCTTCCAATTTGTTGTTATTTAAAGTATATTCCACTGATGAGCAGCATCAGCATTTTTAGGGAGCTTGACAGAAATGCAGACTAGGTGCAGACCTAGAGCATCAGACCTTGTTTTTTTTATTGTAACACAGTTTATTTGGTATAGTCACATTTGACTGCAAATTGTCTAAACTAGTTAGCTCGCTCTCAGATTTAAAAATCATCATTCCATAGACTTTTTTTTTTTTTAAAAATGAGTCTTACCATTTCAAAAACAAAGAGATAAAAAGCCTTTTACATTGGATGACATTTTTTTAGGTGCAATCCGTTATTAAGAATGACAGCAAAGGACAGCAGGAAACTGTCTAGAGATGGCAAAAGACTCACCTGCAAACATAGAATACAATGCTAATACTATTCTTGATTGATTAGGCAGCTAGAAGCCAATCAATACACTGAGCCACTGGAAAACCCCAGAGGGCTGTTAATCTAATAATAAATGCAAATTATCCTAGAAGCACAATGTCCAAGAATCAAAACGTTGTCATTACTGAGGCCAGCAATAAAGGACAGAGAGTAAGTTTGAAGGCAGAAGCACAGACTCATGCGAGTAGAAGTCAAGTTTGAGAGTCTTGTAGCAGATGATCCAGCACATTGTGGTTATGTGAATTTAAAAAGTAAGGAACAGGCTGGGGATGCAGCTCCGTGCTAGAGTGCTCGCCTAGCTATGTGTGAGGCCTGAGCTTAATCCCCAGCATTCCAAGCAGCAAGGGACAGAATAATGATGGAGATATATTTTGGAATCAGTTTCACAGAGGCAATAGTTGAAACTAGAGGGGGTAGACATGATCACTCCACAGAACACTCCACAGGCAAGAATGGATCCCTGGGGTGGCTGAAGAAGAGGAGGTCAGAGGAGAAGAAGCTATCATCAGAGAAGCAGGGAACAAAGCAAGAATAACTGTGGAAATACAGAAAGCACTTAAAGAAGGCAAGGAGGGAGACGGAGGGCATCCCGGAGGCCAAGGGAGATTAAGACTGCCTGCACCTGCAGTGAGTGGGTTGAAGACCAGGCAGCGCCACAGGCAGGAACAAATAATGAGGGCTGGTACACAGGTAAGGTTCACAAAGGAGGTCGGAGTTGGTCCTGTGAGTTGTACTAATCATGAATTTGTGTTCTATACTCTGGTGCTTTGACATCTGG